AGCGAAGATATACAAATCTGAAGAGGAGCCAACAAATTATACAATTGCTTCTTTTTGTATATATGTATAGCGAAATAGACATAGCTTTCAATTGTATATGTATAGCGAATTATACATATATATGTTTGCTATGGAGTGCAATTATGCAAATTTTGCTATAGCATACAAATATGATTTTTTTGTTTAAAACCCCCAAACTTTTAATTTTCGCTCTGCCTCTATATTGGTCCACACTCCATTGTAGTCATATCAACAAAATTTTCTTTTTGTTTTTAAAAGGAAACACGTTTTGCAATATTTTTATCTTCTATTCTAAAATTTAAGACCCCCAAACTTCTAATTTTTGTTCCGCTTCTATATTGTTCCACACTCCATTGTAGTCATATCAACAAAATTTTCTTTTTTGTTTTTAAAGGGAAACATGTTTTGCAATGTTTTTTATCTTATATCCTAAAATTTAGAACCCCCAAACTCCTAATCCTCACCCCGCCTCTGTGTTGATCCACACTCCATTTGTAGTCATTTCAGATGGATAATTGTTGTTGGAGGTGCATGGCCAGAGTAAGATATTCAAACGTTGTTAAAAGTAATTTTTTTAATGTATATATACAGGGCCGACTCAACAACATTGGGGGCCTAAAGCGAAATTTAAGAGAGGGGCCCTAAATATTTTTTTCATCATATGTACTTTTATTTAAAATATACTTTTCTAGTTATTTCAGATGCAAAGTTATTAAGTATTGTTTTATATTCAATTTATTTTAATAATTCCTTTTCAAATGATAATATAGCTAATTCATTCAATCTATCTTGAGACATTGTTGATCTTAAAGAAAATTTAATCAATTTTAATTTCGAACGGAGAAAAATTTGGTTGAGGCAATGGTTATGAACTGTTAACACAATATGTGTATTTGGAAAAGAATCAAATCTTTTATTTGATTGAGTATTTTCATTACATCATTATCTTCTACTTGTATTGTTTATCTTTAACACTTTTACTTCAAAAAATAAATCTAAACCATCAATTCAGAATAACTAGTATGTGTTAAAGAAAGTTCAAGGTTAAGACAATATTTTTAAAAAAATTTCATCATCTAGTAATCTCAATATTTTACCACTAAATAAGAAATCAAAAATATTTTTATATGCTTCAATTGGTTCAAATCTATTTTAAAGTGAAAAAATAGTTTGATCTACTCTACATATATAATGTAATCAACTCTAAAGATTCTTCGAGGGACTTAGTGATTTCGTTATCCATATTTTCATCAAATTGTTTCTTACGAAAATTATATTTGTATTCATGTCATATGCAATTTCTTTAGTAGAAATCATAGCACTTATAGTACATATAATTTATATTTTTAAAAAAATAATATATATAAGTAATTGTTTTTTAAAAATGGGGGCCCCAAAAAATATGGGGCCCAAGCGATGGCTTTAGTGGCCTAGGGGTTAAGACGGCCCTGTATATATAGTAAAATGTGAGTTTTCTTGATTTCTTCATAGGTTTATCTTTTTATATTTTAAATCTCTTTGATGTAAATTTTATCTATCAAATTTTATCTCCGCTACTGTGAGGTGTCAACCAAATTGTGAGTATTGAAGGTTTTCTTCTCAAAAGAATAGCATGATTATGGTTTGGTGAAAAAGTCCAAAATTATTTATCATGTCAACGGTACTTTCAAAATGTTCCTTTACATGAAAGCACTAATCATAAATATTGCTGTTTTTCGCTCCGTAAATTCTTACTTCGATAAACAATTTTTTTACTTACCCCAAAATATTGAACGTTCATATTTAAAAAAAGG